TTTCAAACATGTATTTTCTTTCTTTTTGAATGATCTTTTATTTTATTATGATTAATTCATGTTTAATGTTTAATTATATAAAATATAGAATTAAATTTAATTTAACGTGTGAGATCAGAGGTGAAAAATAACTTCACAAATATATATCATTATATTATATTATTATATTCTTTTAATTTGAAAATAATTACGTATCATATTTTTTCATTTTTTTCTTTTTACAACTAAAAATTGTACTTTATGAATATTTATTTATGTGTTTTCTGTTTTTGAATTTTTTTTATTAAAATATATTTTTCAGGATAACAACACAATATATATCATTATATTATATTGTTATATTCTTTTAATTTGAAAATAATTACGTATCATATTTTTTCAATTTTTTCTTTTCAATTATATACAACTAAACATTGTATTTTATGAATATTTATTTATGTGTTTTCTGTTTTTGATTTTTTTATTAAATATATTTTCAGGATAACAACACAATATATATCTAGGATTATCTTTTTATTTTATTTTAAATATATATTTAGATTATGGATAATTCTTATCATTATTATTAATTTAAATCATTTATCTAAGCAAATAAATATTAAATTCGTTTTTAATTATATAATAAATTATATAAAATTTATTAAGGGTATAATCGATATTAACCACTCCAACTTTTAACGTGAGAGCTCCGTTGCAAAAAATCACTCCGCAAATAATAGTATAGATTNTATATATTTAGATTATGGATAATTCTTATCATTATTATTAATTTAAATCATTTATCTAAGCAAATAAATATTAAATTCGTTTTTAATTATATAATAAATTATATAAAATTTATTAAGGGTATAATCGATATTAACCACTCCAACTTTTAACGTGAGAGCTCCGTTGCAAAAAATCACTCCGCAAATAATAGTATAGATTGGAAGGAGATATAGGACAAGACACGTTACACTGTTACTTGGGCCTAGACTCACATACGATACAAGCAGCATTTATCATGAGGCCATGTTCTCCTAATCATAGATTAAACTACATATTTTCTTCTTAACAGGCCAACGCCACTAAGCCCATTTACTTGGTATACTTAGCTAAGATATTTCTTCGTAGCGAAGTTAATGTTGAGTTGTTGATGTATGTTTATATTTTGTATCCCTATTCAATTTGATAACTGTTTAACTATATATATTGACTACACGACTAGTTAAATATTTATCATATTGTCATCTATTTTATCGTCTTAATACGGTCAAACTCTAAGCTATTAAATCAGATAATACTCAATAAAAAGTTAGTTTGGGGGATTAGAATAACACAATGTATGTAACAAGGCGTGATCATGAATGTAGGAGAAGACCATTAAAATAAATTTGACCAAAATCAGATACACCTTCGAGTTTTCACATATAAATCCCCCGTAAGATGATTATGATATTCCATCTCTCGTAATAAATTATTACATAATATAAGCCATCCCTTGTTGAACAAAAAAATAAAAAATTTAGCTATCCCTTACCGTACATCATACTATAACCTTTTTAACCATAGATATATAGCTGTATATGAACTGGACTTCAGAGGAAAAAAGTTTTCTCTATATATTGAATAACACCGGTATTAGCATTAGTACCTATCGCGCTGGGTCTTAGTTTACATCGACATGGTCCCATATGGCCATACAGCTTATTTTTACTTGATTAGTGTAGCCTTGGATTTTTCTATCACATAAATTGGCTATTAATTAAATCATTATCTCTATATAATCAAATCATTTTGCTTCTAGAATCGGTGTCATCGAATCAAAACATCTCTAAATATCTTTGATTAGATTGGAGTAAAATAGGATTTATGTCATTCTCAAAACAAATCCAACATGCTGCGTAATAAGATCGCAATTAGTAGATAATTAATAATTTACATAGTTCATTGAATTATACTTAAATTAATTAATTAAATTGCCCTTACACATGTACAGTATCTATGATGGTTAAAAACGTTTTATGGAATTTTATCTTGATTGGTAAGTTTAAGTTGGGTTTAGTGATACATACTCACTCACCTTAAAAGACACGGCGGTGACTATTTTTTTTGTTTTGTTTTTGACAACAAAAGGTTGGGTGACTAGTTTAAGTACCATTTAAAGTTCAGGCA